TCACCGCAAAGCTTACAAATCCTTTTCCTCTAGTAGGTTCACCTATCCTATTCGACAAACTTCTGCACAATGGAAATCAGGTTTACAACCCTCAAAATGGTATTTTCACATGTAATTTACCAGGAGTTTATTATTTTGCTTACCATGTCCACTGCAAGGGAAGCAACATTTGGGTGGCACTGATGAAAAACAACGAGCCAATAATGTACACTTATGATGAGTATAAAAAGGGTTCACTTGATCAAGCTTCAGGAAGTGCTGTACTCCCTTTGCGAAAAGGAGACACTGTTCATGTAGAGTTACCGTCAGACCAGGCAGCAGGACTTTATGCTAGCCAGTATATCCATTCCACATTTTCTGGATATTTACTGTACCTGATGCAATAAATGGAGATAATTTTTTAAATCTTAAACATTAGAAATACTCCAGGCCCAAAGTGTTTATAGGAAAAGTTAAGGGAACAAATGATGGCAAATAACTCTTTGTGTTTGCTGATGTCTAGATTGAAATTTCAACCGTTTTGCTTATTGTTGAACTTTATTTCAAAATGATCTGGTGCAGTTTAAACAGCACTGTGTTAGTCATGTTTTAGCTTGATTTCAGATTCTTTTCAGGTCAATATAGAGCACTCTGCACATATTAATGCTCTGTGGGAGCTGCCCTTCTCAAATTCCTGCCTATGTAACTTCAGTTGGTCAGTTACGGCAATATGTGTTCCCCTTAAATATGAGAGCCTACTAAGCAAAAACTTGCTTAGAGGCAATCAAACAGATATAACACTTACCTGATCAGAAACAGTTTAAGTTCTCTGCTGTGGGATTTAATACAGTGGGGTGAATGATTTCTTCTTTTCACAAACAAACCTAGAATGTACAGGTTGTAGCATCCATAAAAGCAACACAGTGTTGCTCTAAATGTTTTCACTTTTAAATGTTTAAAATGTTTACATAAAGTGGTTAAAGTAACATGCTTTCCATAATGACAAGTTTGCCACAACTTGATGTAAATGTGTTCACCTTCATTCTTTTAACTGTATCCTTTTTACATTAAGAACACTACGGATTCATTAATCCATTCATTTATTCACAGTTACTCTTTCAGCATATGTATTTTCGGTTGTTTTTTTTCTGTTCTTTGTATTACTGTGTTTTGTTTGTTTGTTTGTTTTTTTACTCTGAACATACAGTTAATGAAATATTAGTTTGGTTCAGTACCAGATAATGATGTCAAACAGACCCTCCCTACACATTTTGTAAAACTTTTCTATATGTTAATCATTGACTTATTTTTCATTAAATTAAAGAAAATTAATTTTCTTTAATTTATTTTTAAACTACTGATTACTTGAATCTGTTTTACTTGTTGAGTGATACATTAATAATTTACTTTCAAATGATCACAAAAAGTAATAAAGAGAATTCCATCCATTCAAACAAGATGACACATTTACAAGCAGAATCTGCCCATTTTTTTTATTTTGTGTCTTTTTAAAGTAAAAGTCTTTGTTAATTTTTGTACACCAAAAGTGTGTTCAAAATGTGTGAGTTTTTATGTCAATTGTCAATAGAAAAATAAAAATTGTTTGTTTTAACTTATTTTCAATCTTCTTCATGTTAATGTACTTTGGGGGTTATTTAAATGAAAAGTTTTGACCAGTGGCACTGGTTGCTTAATTTAAGTAAGTAAGTAAATTTTTCGTTTTTGTAGCATCTTGCACAGACGGGAGGATCACAACTGCCACAATTCTCAAGTCTGCGGTGCAAAAGAACTACGTAGGACAATGTTGTGGGGGAAAAAAAATGGAGATTGGTGGATTTCACTCAGTCGGCATTTTATTACATCTTTGCAAAAAAGCCCTTATTGCATGGTAATCAACCCTGTTCTGATCTGGACAGAGTTTGCGTCACTAACTTAAAGTAGTCAGAGTCAAAGCAAATTACAGACACTTTGGTTTAACAGTAACATGTAATGAATAAACCTTGAGAAAGAATCTGGCGTGTAATGGGAATAAGTAGTCCTTGCTTGCAAAACACTGCCCACTCATTGTGTGGCCTTGCAGGTAAAACAGACAAAAACAGACAAAAAAATTTTTGAGTGAATAAATAACATTCTCAATATATGAAATAAGAGAAATATACATTTTACAACCACAGACACTTATAAATGTGTGTCAGAGTGATTACCGTAAATCCTCTAATATAGGACGGGACCTTTATTTTACTCAGGTGCATTTTGGTTCACGCCATTATTGGAAGGAGGCCAGAATTGGAGGCATGCCTCTATTTCTAATTGATCAAAACAGACTACCAGTGGAATGAATAAAAACAAGATTTTGTGTCTATTTGAACCTATAAAATACTAGGTTCATTTATTGAAAAAGTACAGTTACCATGCCGATATACAGAACATTATCAACAAATACTGGTAATTCAGACATCTTACAGCAGCTTCCAGGCAATTTGTCTGCACGGCAATACGAAAAAAAAAAAAAAAAAAGCATACACAGAATTGAATCTTTGCCAAACCAACTTTCGAAACAAGGTTTTAAAAAAAAAAATGGGAAAAAAAACTGTTCTGCCATCAGAGCAACATTTTATTTGTTTTAGGCTAAGTGGAAGTAGGCTACAGGTATCATATATATCAAGGGTAATTCAGAACAATGAAGGCCAACTAAATTCTGTCATTTTAACGCTGTTCACCACAAAGCAAACGTAGTGCATTCTAAACATTTTCCATGGTGATAATTATTCATAACAAAAGGCAATTTACAGGTTTAATCACCTTGCTGCTCACTCAAATTGTCTTGTTTAGTTTGAAGTAAAACAAAAAACAAATCTCCAATTCTGTTTAATCCTTCACAGTTTCCTCCTCCTCTTCATCTCTCCCCATAATCTCCTCATCACTTGCGGATCAGGACGATCGGGGCGACTACGATCTCTGTCTAAACATGGGACTTCCCATGCTAATGGCTTGGATTTGTTAGCAAACATTTCCCCCCTGTGGTACTTTTATGTTACTATCACAAGTTTTTGAGGACTGCCCAGGAACACTGTTGGTTCTAATTATATCCCCGGCCTGTATAAGAGTCCGGCCAGTATTTACCTCCACCGCAGCGACACAGGCCATTATTAGAGACCCGGCCGCTAATGGAATACAGGCCAATATTAGAGGATTTAGGGTATGTTAAATGTCAAGCAAACAATGGATATGACAATGTGTCTAATAAGTTCCAAGATTTCTTTAACTGATGTTGGCTTACCTGACCAGTTTTCTTCCTTCTAAAGCAACACACTGTCTCAATTAACCAAAGAGACATTATAAACCGTGGTGGTCTGAGTGGCCCAAAATCTTTCTCAAATAAAAGTGTTACACTACTTTTACATATTTGAGTAAAATTTAAATGTGGGCCATCAAAAATATTTCCCAAGAAACAGTAAAAGGAATTTAAAAACAACACTACTTAAGTATGAAAGAAATAATTATAGCCTTTAATTTGAATGATAAAAAATGTATTATGAAAGACAAAATATGTTTGCATGTGAAATCTGGCATTTTATCTTCATCGCATGGCCTGAATCCCTATGGACAAGGGGAGTGGACTACAAATGTAAATGAGCTTCCAGAGGTAAAAGTATGAGACGTGTTTGAAGTCACTGCATTTGATCCGTAGATCTAACAAAAAAATCCAGTGCTTAGCTGGAAAACATAATTTTAAGCATCTTGTTTCATCATTTTAGAGAAGGGGTTGTAGCCAAAATAGTGCTCTGGTCCGAACCAAAGGTCCATGGTACAGACCAGTAGTCCAGGCAACAGTGTAAATTTGTGGTCAGGACCACTAGGGGGGGTTGGGATCAATGGTCTTCCACTGGTCCAGAGTAAGTATCATGGTGTAATTAGCGGTCCTTTCCCCTAGAGGGCATCTAGCTCAATGGTCAATGTGGTCACCTTAAGGCTGATTTATACTTCGAAACTAGGTCTTCTGCGTAGGTGTCGCAGTGAATGCAGAAACGTCCCCATCCCCTCCGCAGACACTCTGCTGCACCGCTCCCTAATTGTAGGTGACCGCAGACACTGCTGCAGACAGAAGGCCTCTGATTGATCAAATTAATATTTCCTGTTAAGTACCTTACCAGCTTGTTTTGTTTGCATGACCACCATTGTGGAAAACGACTCGTGAAGATTGACCAGCTAGAAGAACGAGGAGTGCGAGAACCCTGGGACCCTTTTTCCACCTGGATCCCCGCTCTTTTTTGCCCTCATGTCCCTCTGTTGTCGAATAAACTTGCCCCCATTTCCTCACCGCGTCAGCCGTATCTAGACCCACGGTTAGTTCGTGATTGTCCCTCTTGCGTTATGGCTTGGAATAAGATAGCCACGCTTTGAGTATATATAATTGAGTATAAATAAAAAATGTCTGCATTATACCTGCGACAGGCTCACTGGTGCGGGAGTATTACCAGCCCTTTACTAATGAAAAGAGAGTGGAAAACCAATTTCCAAACCAATTTTTTAAACTAAGTTTAATATTTCTGATACCCCCTTTTTTTGCTCTCTGTTTATTCATTCTGATTGTATTTTCTATTTTGGTTTATCCATCTGGTTACCTTTTGTTCTTGTAATTAATGAATAAATTGACATAATATGTGTGATAACTGTCCACTATCAGTGGACTTAATCTTATTTGATGTATCTTGTACCATGCTGAATGCTTTGAATGAATTAGTAAAGCAAAGACAATTATCAATTTGTCTCTGTTGGTGTTGGTCTCTTCCTCTTTGATAAATGAAAATCTGAAACTAACATCCAGCTTGATGTTTTCTCAGGAAACAGTCAGATTGGCATGTGGATCCTGGAATGAATCCTGAAGCTACAATCTTTTAAGGAATGGAAGATGTTTTCAAGGAGAGTTTAAAATAGAAACTGATTGAATCTGTGAGTCTCTGACATTTAGAGACTGAACTGTCCATTTAACAGTAAAAGTGTTTCTGTGACAGGGACACTCAACATAGAATGACTGAGGATCCAAGAGTGATGTGGAATCCAGGATATAGAGGTTCGCTGAACGAGGTGTGGAAGGTGTGGAGTTCGATCAGTGAGTCAGGGGTGACTTCGTAGAAGGACAAAATGCCAGCAGGAAAGTCCACATACACTGCTACTCTGTTAGAGATGGAGGAGGAGGAGGATGTAGGTTTTCCACTATCATTATGCCAGATAAAGTAACCACTATCAGAGCACATAAGCCTCCAGGAATGATCATTTAATCCAAATAAACAATCCTTATGATATTCTCGCATACTGATTCTTCTGTAACTCACTGATATATCAACTCTTCCTCTCCACTCAACCTCCCAGTAGCAGCGACCAGTAACACCAGTTCTACACAACAGCTGAGGATCCTTAAATCTGTCTGGATGTTTAGGATATGACTGAAGCTCCTTCACATGTGTCACTTTCCTGTTGTCTTCAGACAGTTTCAGATTTCTGCTCACTGTGTTTGTGTCGATTATGAGCTGACAGGAATCTAATGGAGAGAAGAAACATGAACCAGCTGCAATTGTTTCTCATTTATTGACAATTTGATAATGACTCCTAATTGGGTGAGAAGATGGTTTGAAGATACTGATGTCATTGAATCCAATAAGAAAATATACTTACACCTCCATAGCCCTGGTGTCAACCATCTAATTGCAGCAGGCTCCACCCTAAATGGAGAAAAGGTTTCAGACCATCACTCCCTGTTAGCATGCAAAATATACTGCCTTACACTTACAAAGGAGCTGTTCAACATTTGGAAAGATCCTCTTATAAAATATAAAAGAAATTAAGAAGAGTGGACAGCAGACAGACAATTTCACTGTGATAAGTGATAATGGAAGCATTGCAAATGGCAGTGGATGTACTATGAACAGTTGGTATTGCTGTTAGTGATGTGTGCATAGATATTAAATTATCCATACCTCCAAAAACAGATTCAGGCTCTAAAGTTGATCCTAATATCAAAGCATTTGATATTAAATTATTTATAGGGGAACTTCGTTTTTTTTACATTGTGCCTTGATTTTACGTATTACATCATGATATATTCACCCATGTAGGTTTTGTGTCATTTGGAGCCGTTCCGCAGATATTCCGTTAGGTTATATCCAAATAACGTCTTCCTATGGGCAAACGACTTGAAGGCACAAACTGAACTGTTCATAATTTATTCTTTATGGCACACCAGCATTCATAATATGTTGTTGAATCACTGTCCCCCAGACATCCGCGGTTATTTTTTTTATATTTATATGTTTTAAAAGCAGTGGCGCATGTATGACGTCATCCACGCGCGCCAGCTACCATTCCTTCATCCTGTCCGCTGAACTGCTGCTAGTTTTACTCACATGCCTGGAAGATGTCTAGTGCTACTACCACAGATGATCACACTCTCGAAATGGAATTGAGCGATTCAAATTAGATAGCCGAATGAATAGAAGGGGTAGAG